ATTTTTATAACACTTATGTTCAAAAACAGGACTTATTTCTTTATTGTTTCTTGCCAAATTGAATGGGAGCCATTGTGGTAGGTCCAAAGATCCACTGGAGGCTCTAGAGCCACAGCTTGCAGACCCCTGCTCCAGCAGCATGCCTTAGCTCCTCTAGGCATACTGACATGCGTGTTTTCCCTATGTCTGCTTCAGCACACCTGATGTGTATCGCCTCCTCAGGAGGACATCAAGTGCTGCAGACGCCTGTTAATCGGTCATTCATCTAAGTCCGGTGTGTGGCAGCAGGGAAACACTGGTGTTAAAGGGCAACATGGAAACCATGCAGGACAGTGGGCTTTGAGGACGAGGGTTGGAAACAACTTAGCTGAACTCTTAAATCTGGAGATAGTGATGAAATGCTCTGTGGGAAAGAGCATTGTCAGCTTGGAGGACAGGATTAGGGATTTGGTGCCAGACTGGGGTTAATCCCATCTCAATATCTGTCTGAATTACAATTTCTTTATTTTTCTGGTGAGGGCGAGGCATCAGTGAAGCAGTCGGAACAGCTTCTCTTCCTTTCCACACCATGATCCTGGTGCTAGAACCTGGACTTCAAGTCAGTTTTGTCTATTGACCTCAGTCATCAAGTCCAATAAGAAGTCGGTGTTGTTTTAAAAACCAGTTTTTGCACTGTAAAAAAAAAGTCCAGTGAACTTAAAAAAGTAAAGCAACCAGTTGCAACACAATTTTAAGTTCAGTCAACTTTTTAGGTGCTTGCTTTGCCAAGTCTCATATTTAAGTTGGCCTAATTTATATGTGCATTTTATGCTTACTTTTAATAATAAATACAACCAAATTGAAATGTAACATTTGTAGAACCAGGAATAAAGAGTTTACTGAACTAACGATAATAAGTTTGGCAAAATTGGGATACATAGTTCTCTAAACTTAGAATAAGTAGTTGAGTCAATGGCCAGATAAACTTAAAATAAAAAGTTGGCACAACTTTCTACTTGCAAAAAGTTGACTGAACTCAAAAAGGGGTTGCAGCCAGTTGCTTTAATATTTTAAGTTGAATCAACTTTTGAATTCAGTTCTATAAACTAACTCAACTGTGCTGTCCTTCCCAAATTTTGCTGACAAACAACACTTTCATTAAAAACACAAAACTGAATATTTCAATTTCATGCATGTATTTATTAACATGCTAATGGCACATTTAAAAAAAGTTGCAAAATGTGTAAAATTCAAAATCTCATTACCAATACAGGAGCATTAACACTACAATAAAATATACCGGCCACTTAAACTGATAACATGGCAAATATATAACAAGTTGCTAGTGCAAGTGTTGTAACCTACTTTCTTACAGCCTATACATGCGAACTTCCAGTATCTTTGAAAAGGTTAAGCTCTAACTGCTTCAGCAATAAAGACAAGATTAAAATTATTATTACCCAGTACCAGGTTATTTTGACCTGAAAATGAAGACATATTTCTGTTCGAAACAAAGACAAATCATCAGAATTGATATTGGATGCTGAAGATTAATTTTACAAAAGCTTTGATGCCAATCTGATTACATGAATCTGAAATGTGGTGATACAGCTAAGTAACGCTTGAGTTACAATTAATTTGTTTCATTGAAGGCATATACATGCCGCCATAAGTAATATGAAACTACTAACAACCACATCCTGACTAAACTGAGGGTTAATGGTATCACCTGAAAAACCTTCCGATTTAAAGATTTATGAACCGTCTGATAACAACTCTTCCTAAATCACGTTAAGGAGCTTTAAAACGTCTAGAGGATCACACAATAATTAGATAAAGGCCTGACCTTGGTTTGGGGTGGGATTGGTTAATTGGTCCTGAAACATGATGAAGATGGAAGCTGAGGAAGGTCAGGGCGTTCTCATGCCAGAGCTCAGTTCCGTGTTCGTAGACAGGATGCAAGCCGCTCTGATTTCATTACTCCAGCAGCCAGAAGGCCCCTTGGCAGAATTGCCATCAAGCAGCTGTGCTGCTCTTGATGGAACAGTCTGCAATTCTTTTACGACTTTTACACACTTTTTACTTGTGATTGTCGAAAAATCTACGATTGTTTTGCTAATTTATGCTCTAGTCTAAACGTTCTAAGAATGCTCATTTTTTTAAACTAAATTTTCCGTCCTCGACTCGCTGCGTACGCTTAGAAGATGAAAATAAGTCTATCCAAATCTTTTCCATCGAAGGCTTCTTAACGAGAGCGACAAGAGGCCCTTCATCGAGGAGGCGGAGAGGCTGAGGAAGCAGCACAAGAAGGATTACCCGGACTACAAATACCAGCCGCGACGCCGCAAGAACGGGAAGCCCGGCTCCAGCTCGGGAAGTGAGGCCGACGGCCATTTGGAGGGTGAGGTCAGCCTTAACCAGTCCTACAAGGGTCTCTGCCTGGAAGTGGCCCACGGTGGGGGAGTGCAGACCCTTCTGGCAGATGGGCATCGTGCTCTTGCTGCAAGTGGGCTGCAGGCTCCCTCCCACAGAAACCATCTCTCCTGCCCTGTTAGATCTTTGTGGAGCCCACTGACCAGGATGATGCTTGTTTAGGTTAATGTTTGTGGTTCTGCAAAACAAAAAAAACTTAACTTCATTCTTTTGTCTCTACAGGTGAGAGCCACAGTCCTCCCACACCCCCTACCACCCCGAAAACTGAACCCCTGTCTGGGAAGGTAGGGGAAGGTAAGAGGGAGGGCACTGGAAACGTTGGATCCCGGGGGACTCTGGGAGCAGAAGGAGGCTCAGGCCCTCCTGGATCTGGAAAACCTCACATCGACTTTGGAAACGTGGACATCGGCGAGATTAGCCACGAGGTGATGGCCAACATGGAGCCTTTTGACGTCAATGAGTTTGACCAGTATCTCCCCCCGAACGGGCATCCAGGGGTTGGGCAGATAGGCGGGATGGGAGGAGCTGCGGCAGCGTCTCCAGCCTCTCCGTACACCTACAGTATATCCTCTGCTCTGGCGGCGGCCAGCGGACACTCGGCCACCTGGCTCTCCAAGCAGCAGCAGCAGCAGCAGCCACAGCAGCACCATGGCTCTCCTCTAGGCTCCGACTCCTCCAAGGTCCAGATCAAAAGTGAGGCTGGAGGTGCTGGGGGTCTCTTTGCAGAAGCAGCCTCAGCTGGGACTCATGTGACCTACACCCCACTCAGCTTGCCTCACTACAGCTCCGCCTTCCCGTCGCTGGCCTCAAGAGCTCAGTTTGCAGAATACGCTGACCACCAGGCCTCAGGGACGTACTACAGCCACTCCGGCCAGGCCTCGGGGTTGTATTCGGCCTTCTCTTACATGGGGCCCTCCCAGAGGCCCCTGTACACTGCCATCACTGACCCAACCAGTGCGTCGCAGTCGCACAGCCCCACGCACTGGGAGCAGCCCGTCTACACCACCCTGTCGCGGCCATGACAGATACAGAGACCAGAGAACACTGGTGCAGGTCCAGCCCCGGAGTCAGAGCAGAGGGGAGTAAGCAGCTACAGCAACGGAGGCGATCTGATCTGGGGAGAGTTGGCAGGCACTGGGGGTGTCCGCTGGGGAGGCAGGAGTGAGGAACACACCTCCTTCTGAGGAGAAAATGTGGTCACACCCCAAGGCTGAGCTTTGAGTGAGTTGCTTCAGAAGACCCACACCACTGCAACACAGTTAAGGACACTCCGAACAACACAGGTTCAGGGGTCAGGGGTCAGTTAGTCCACAACCCTTCCACATGCCAACATGGTCCTCGATCAGTGTCACACAGGTTGGGAGGGAGAAGAAACCGAATTTATCCTGTAAGAAAAGATTTAAACGCCACGAGGCTGGAATGCCAATCGATTTGTCAGCCGTTTACTTCTGAAACAAAAAGCTGTAAATGTTCTAACTGCAACTAATCCTGGATCTGGTCGAATCAGATGACAAGCACAGCGAGCAGACGTGAAGCCCTGAAGACCAGTGGTGGACCAAGGATTTTTCTGACCCTGGGGCCATTAAGGGGGCAACAATATTTAGAGAGGGGGCAAGTAGTATTCCAGCATCCTTACACACAATCCCAGGTTTTGAAGTACTTGAATGTTACAGTTTTTTTTTGTTTTATTGCAAACAAACAAAATACCAAGACACACGGCCTTTGAGATTTCAGCATTGTTTTTGTATTTTTAACCACAAATGGTATCAGTGAAAAGTTTGTTTGTGGGTGAAATAAAACACCCAAATTCACATTTGGTTCATTAGCACTACTAGAGTTTGGGCTTGGAATTACACCCAGCTATACTCTGACCATCATGCAAACAACAGAGAAGTGATGGGGCACTTCAGGGGGGGCTGGCCAAACTTCATCAAGGGGCCAGTGCCCCAACAGCCCCGCCCCTAGCACCGCCAATGCTGCAGACGTGTTACAAAGTGATGCGTGTATTTTGACAGAACCGGTTTTTCGTTACGACAGATAGACGGAGATATAAACGAACACGGAGGCAGAGAGGTAGAATATTTGTGAAATGACCAAAGTTTTGAAACCAAAATGTTTTGTAAGAAACTGATTTAAAGTCGTTTCTCCCGACATCAAAACTACCTGACATCTAGCAGATAAGAATGTTACAACTTATCAGCAGTTTCGCGTATTTACTTTAAAACTGTTCACTTGTGTCAAAATTTGTGTTTTTGTTTTCCGTTAGCACTGAAAATTGTGACATTTTTCAATGTGTTTTCAGCGAATTTGTGTCTAAAGGTCACAATGACAATAATTTTACAGATATTTAAGAAGACATTTGAGATTTTTAGCTACAATGAACGCTGGTTTTGCTTTTTGCTCGACTGTTCTTTAACATTTCGCTACAAAAACTGTGTTTGCAGTGTTAATATTTACATTTTCTGTTATTAAAAATTAAGAAACTATAAAAACTTTAGGACGACATAAGAAACAGCTACAATATATGAATGCATCCTAATATAAGCTGCAAAATGTGCCTTGTTCTCAGCAGCATGCTAACTAATGGGGCAGGAGGGGAAATCCCTCTCCTTTACGCTTTTTTCATTCTATTTGATTGTTTATACCTTTATTTCATTTACTATCTTTAATTTCTCTTCATTAGTAACTTTGCTTTTCTAAAATATGTTGAAAACAGCAAAATCTTCATTCAGAAAGTAAAAAAAGGAACTCATCTGCTTTGCTTTGTTTACATATTAGAATATTACAGCTCAGTTAAAATACTTTTAATTTAAAGCATAAATACTTATTTATGTGTGTTTCATGTTATTTGCACAGTTTTTTCTCATCATGAAGAAATCCTTGACTGTTGCCTCCATGTTCACGGCTTTCAGCAACGTTACACGGCTGTAAAACACTTTATAAATAACACACAAAAGCCTTAACTTGTGACGATGACTAACGATCTTTTACTCTCTTGTGAAATAAAGCTCTTTTTTCTGCTTGGTTGCAAAGTTTGCCTCATTAGACGTTTTCACAGCTAAGAATGAAACGATGTAAGTTTATTTTATTGTGAAGCTGAGGGAAACTTCCCCAATGCTGGATGATTTCTTTAGTCTAACTCACCCATCACTGAGCGATGATGCTGCTGACAGAGTATGAGTAACCTTTCTACGGGCGCTAGGCATTTTGCTGCTACACTTGTTTGTCCCCCAATTAGGGTGGCTCGAAGGGTTAATCCGTTTTCTACAGTTTGGCGTGAATAACCATAAAATTTGGTGTTTCTCAGCTTCCTCCTGCATGTATGTGAGGATTTCTGCGGGTTAAGCTCGACTCATAAGTCCCCCTCTTTAATCGGCTGTGTGATACTTTGAAAAGACAAAGAGGGCCATTGATGGTGACGTGGGGGGAGGCGGGGGAGGGAACGAGGGCAGAGAGGGAGACTTTACCCATAAAGCCCTGCAGCTTCACCGGGACACAAAAGGACCCTTAATCCATCTCCTCCCCACACTCGCCCCAATTAAAGCAAACTTGCCTCTCAAGTTTGAGCCAAAATAGGAATTCTCGAAAGAATTAGGGGCATTTTTGCTCAAATAAAATGCTGAAATCCTTGAGGAACTGGTCAATTTTAAATGCTTTACGTTTAATTTTATTTTATTTACGTGCAGAGAAGCTGAGCAGACTTCACAACTGTGCAAAGTGATGTGAGATGAAAAATAAAGGGATTGCAATTAGTTAAAAAGTATGAAAAGGCTTCACTTTATTAGAAAATGTAAGAAAACTTGAAGCAGGTGCAAAACTGTAACGACGTCTCATGATGTATGAAAAACAGAAACTGAACTTAGCATGAAGTCGTTAAAATCTGGTACATGTTAGAAATAATCTAAAAGGATTTGAACTCCAAAGTTCCAAGATAAATAATTTCCAAAGAAAATTCAACATTTAAAATGAAGTGAAACTTAAAATATTAAACAAAATCTATGAATAACGTATATATTAAAGATTTTGTTTCAAGTGATCAAACTTTACGGCTCAGATTTCGTTCCGTGTAAACCGAAGTTGTTGATGCAACACGAGAAGAGGAGAACATCTGGAGAAGGAAACCGTCACAGATGTGAAGGTGAATACATCTGAACAGAACTACTGAGAATCTGGAGCTGTCTGAAGGAAAAACAGAAGAGAAGACATTCATTCATTCATTTAATAACAATCTCAGAGTTTAGTGGAAGTGTGAGTGTCACATGTGCTGTCCTCTCCAACCCAAATTCAGCATCGCCCCAAGGCGCCCTGTTCTCCAACCAAAAGACTCCTGGATTCACGTTGTTTCGTTTAGATAAATGACCTGAATGTGCCTTTAAATAAATAATTTAGCACCCTACAGGTGTTTAATCAGCTGGTAAATCTTTATATAAATGTCACAAATAGATCAGATCAGATGAAACTTTAATTCTGGTTTGCCTAAAACATTTCATTTCCTTCAACAATACAGGATGTGTTGACTTTCTTCACCCGGCTGTCGCTGATGGCAAAGACATGCCGTCTCCAAAATTAAACTTTAAAAGAAATGAAAAAATGTTTTTGTTTTTAAACCTTTAATCAGAAATAATAAATGGTAATGATGATGATCATAAAAATGAATAAACCAGTTTAAAAAGTGAACCTTCATTTGTTAATATTAAGATTAAAAACTATACTTTTTTCAATCCAATAGCTGAAGTCTTTAGCATAAATGATGCCTTGTGAGTCGTTCTCTGTGGATAAAAGCTCTGGCGCTCCTGTTTCAGGAAGTAGAAGTTAGCCAGAGGAGAGGTAGGCAGAAAAAGGCCGGATTTGGAGTCTTACTCGTTGTTAGCATCGACATGTACATATATGGACCATGGGTTTCCAGAGGCTCCAATAACACATTTTAGAAGATAAATGGGAGGTGGCCACCACCGCCATTTTGACCGTGTCACAGGTTCCGTCAAGCCCAGACTATTCCACAAAAGGGAAGAGAGGTGGAGCTGAGGGTGGGGCTGTAAGGCTGGGATCAACTGACGACACCCGGTCGAACTAGCTACAAGCTAACCTGAAGCTAACCCAGAGCTATTGCGGAGGTGGGAGCTAAGCTAACAGAGGTAGCAACCTAGCTACAACCGGCGTTAACTATGCACAACACCAGAGCTTCTGAGTTAGAGATACGCCGGGCTGACCGCTGGGTAAAACCGGGTGGTACACAGAGGTCTCCGAGAGCTCCACAAGCCGGCAGCCGCACAGCAGACAGGAGCCGCGATCGGACAGAGATGCGCCGAGCTGCGGGGAGGGGAGAACGAGGTCTCCCGAGAGCTCCACAAGCCGATAGTTGGAACCCAGCTCCACCAACATGTTATATTTCAACCCATTTTCTAAAGTGCAGCATTATGTTAAATGCACTGGGTTTTACCCTATTACATTTAAATTTCATGGTTAAACAGTACATGTTAAAATCTAAGCTCAGCTCGGCAGTGACCTAAAATACATAAATATAATTTTACTTACCGAAAAAAATGAAGTGGAGACTCCTTGGACGCTCTATTAGTGCAATTAATGCCACAGCTAGTCATTTTGTCCAACAATTGCACAAAAAATATCCCAAAAGAACGCACAAACGCTACAACTAATGGTCTAAGTTGAGAGACTGAAACTGACGGAACAGTTTTCAGGCGAGGCCGAGGCTCAGACTGAGGCCTTTCCCCGGAGCTAGCTCTGTGGTCACGTGGGTCTGATGCTCATTAATTATACAGAATTTTAGGAATTTAATACACTTAAACAGAAGAGTGAGAAAAAACATTCACCCCCCTCAGAGTTGTCATGAGTGTAAACTAGATCATTTAAACCAAAAACATGTTTTGGTACCAGGCTGTAAACATGTTTATTTCTGCTGTGAAATTGGTATTTTTAACATGGGAGTCACTGAGGATTTGCTCACTTCTGACACCAGCCCCCAGTGGATGAGGGTGGAACTGCAATTTATTTCACTTCCGCGTTTGCTTCAATTTTTGACCCACATTGTTTATATTACAAATAACAAATATTTTCTAATAAGACTCACAAACCTGAGTCAACACCAGTATCATCAAAGCTGGGGTTCTGTCGTTGTACTTTTGGCCTAAAAAACATCCTCATGTCCATCTTCACTCATGCGTTTCAGGCAGAGTGTGTGGAAGAAGCCGGCTGCTGAAGGGCTTCTTCTTCAGTGGTGGAGGCTCAGGCAGGCTGTATACAAACTACTGCCAGCTGCTCCCTCTCTGTTGGACTTTGGTACTGCATGTTACTTCCACGTTTTAGATCCGGGGCTTTTCATAAAACATTCGGGGCTTGAGCCCAAGTAGCTGGGCCTAACGCCGCCCCTGACGAACACGTTAGTTATGTGTGGGTCGCTCTAAGAGCCAGCTCAATGAAGCGAACGGCGGGAGCCGCCTCGTCACTGGTCGGGTTTGGACTGAGGCAACGGGAGGGGGAGGCTTCAACTGCCAAGGTGGAGATTAAAAGTAGAGGGTATTTGTAACCTCCCCCTGACCAGATGGTGTGTTCTAACGTTCCCCTTGGGCGGCAAATACAAAAATTCACAGTCAGAATGCATGGGAAACAAATGCTTGATCACAGTGAGAGTAACGTTTTAGGTAGCAAGAGGGTTAAGGTTAGGATGAGGGTGAGGGGAAGGTTATAAATAGCAAAACGTTAAGGTTTAGGTGCGGTTAAATGAGCTGGTTTGGTGCCGCAGCAGCGGACATCCCATCGCGTCAGTGTAACGCTGCATTGGGATCTGCAGTCAGAAAGGAGAAAACCCCTTTTTCGTACATAAGTGACGAAAAATGGCACTTTTGGCGCCAGGGGTTTGACGCGGAGGGTGGCTGACCAAGCGTTTGTTTTTGACGCGCTGGGAGTGAGAATTGAATAGTGTGATGTAGATCTGTGCGGTTTTTCCGACCCGAGTGTTTCCTCATCTATTTCCATTTGAGGGCTAATAGAGGAAACGTGTAGCATTGTCACGTTCTGAATACACGTGAAACTCAGAGAGAACGATCGTTTCAAAATTAACAAGGAAGAAACAGTTTTCCACTGAGCGTGCTCTTTAAAATACAAAAAACTGGAAAAACGTTTAAATCAGATTTATGTACTTATGTTTATTTATTTAGCAGACACTTTTATCCAGAGCGACTTACAATTTATAACCTATAGGGCATGTTGTGTTCTGTGGGGGAAACCGGAGTACCCGGAGGAAACCCACACATGCATGGGGAGAACACGCAACTCCACCCAGAATGGCCGCAGCCGAGTTTCGAACCTGCAACCTTCGTGCTGCAAGGCAACAGTGATAACCACTGCGCCACCATGCAGCCCTTATGTAAAATAACGGTTCCTCAGTAAATCTCACCTGTAAATGAAAATATAAAAATAGCATGTCAGACATGACTACTTTAGTCTTGGCCACATTCTGACTCGCTCAGGTCTGATCTAGTCTCTGCTTCTCCAAACTAAGATTGCTCAAATGACCAAACTAGAACTAATTGTTCATGTTTCCACTAAAATAGATTTTGAAACTGAATCAAGAAAATAATATCAATATTAAAAAGCATGTTTGGAGTTTTTGTACTTTAACAGACATAATAAACTACTACAACAAGTAGAGCTTTTGCTGAAACTCGTGTCGTCTTCAGTGCCTTAAAAGTATTTATATCACTGGGACTTTCCCCGTCTTTTCACGCTCATTCAGACTTAACTGGAGTCAAACACTTTCTCTGAGAAAAGTCATCAGAAGAACATTTGTTTGAGACTCATTAAATGAAACTCGTGTAGGTCTGCTGCCCTGAGATCAGCGCTGCTGCTCAAACCATCACAGACGATTTCACCTGCAAACACGAAAACGCTCACCAGTGGATGGAAAATTACTCCAAAGAGAGCATTTAGTTAGGAAACCTAACGCTTCACCAGCTATCTGTTGCATTGTTACCACAGATAAGCAATGTTCAACAACACTTGG